TGTAACGGCGCAGGCAAGACAATGGGTCCGAATGCGGTATGAATCCACTCAGAGGCATATGGGAGTGCGTGGGGACTCAGAGACCTGGGAATACCAATGACACCTATAGGCCTTGTACGTAGGATATCAGAAAACTACCGAGCTAGCTACGGGGGCGAGGTGCGACTAAATACATGAGGGAATAGGGGCAACTGCAGGGGACTGGGTCGAGTCATGGTCGGGGCCGATACGGGGACCCTTCGGATAGGATCCGAGCGACCCGAGATGGAACAATTCGTAGAATCGTTACACTACCCCCCCCTCTGTAGGCTGATAGTCCCTATCTGCAGTGTTTAAAAAGTATTTAGAAATGCTTTAGAACTAATTTAGATAGTGTGGAGGATAAAATAGCCTGGCAGTAGCTGTTCAGAAGATCGGATGAAGTGACTCTGCTATCTAAGAGAGCTGAAGGCTCTCCTTATATACACCGAGCTTCGGAACATAATATCTCCAGATCCCGAGCTGCGTCCCAGGCTCTGAGCCCCCAGTCCCAGGCTCCGAGCCCCAGTCCCAGGCTCTGAGCCCCAGTCCCAGGCTCTGAGCCCCAGCCAAGGCTCTCAGTATACGCGACACACCCCCCAGGTGAGCTGCGCAGCAGCTCACCTGCGTTGAGCGTCAACTTGGCTTGTTGGAGCAGCGCTGCGCGTTTACCCTGTGTTTGTGCTCGTTGCCCCAGGCAGCGCGATGATCGTTTCCCTAGGCAGCACAGGTCACGTGCGTGCCGTGATCGCCGCAACAGAGGTAAATAAATTCTGCTGCTCCTCGAGCTTCTCTTCTGTAAGTCCCAACAACATGCCGCGTGTAAGTTAATGCTTTTGAGAGCTCCAAGAACAACTCCAAACCTGTCTGCGATCTCCGCTAACGTGTGTATGAAGCTCAATAAAGCTAAACGAGCCGCTCGCGCGCGTGCCCTGCGGGGCCGCGCTGCCCGCAAGCCCGCAGCCCCCCGCCGCCCTGCGCCTACCACCGCCCGCCGCCCTGCGCCCACCACCCCCCGTCGGCCCGCGCCCCCCGGTCCGGTCTCGACTCCTCGCCGGCCTCCCCCTGGTGCGCTCCGCGCGCAGTCCTGTCTGGGCTGCATAAAGAGTGCGCTCGCGGGGCGCTCCAGTGGGGAGTGCCATGATTCCGCCACTGGCGGTTCGCGCTGCTGGCGCTGTTCCTCCGGGCACAGCTGCCTGCCCCTATAAGCCCTGTAGCAGTGTGTGGGGTGATCTAGCTTTTTGACTTATTTGCAGTCCCCCCGTCGCCGTCGTCTATGCGCGGCGCCTTGTTGCGGCGCTCGTCGCGGAGGACGAGCGGGTAAGCTTCTCCGCAGAGATCGTGTGTCATACCCTAGATCAGACTAACAGGCTATAGGCTGCGTCCCGGCTTCGGCCGGTGGTTCGAGCTCTGCTCGAAGAAGATGTCGTGGAGGAGGTGGTGGAGGAGGAGGAAGAGGAGGAGGAAGAGGAGGTGGAAGAGGAGGTGGAGGAGGTGGAGGAGGAGGAGCAGGGTGTCGTCTCCCCTGGGCTCCTGGCGCGTCGCCAGCGCGCTAAGGAGCTCTTGGGTGAGCTCGTCGATCTCCTCATGGTTTAGGCGTTCTGTGTTTTCTGTGTTTTCGCGCATCTCATGTATCAAATCCCTGCTCAAACTCCATGGCATGGGGGAGTGTCCCTGCTGGTAGATAGAACTCTTGTTCCTAGGCGGTGTGGGGATGTCCCCGCCATCAATGATCAACGCTTTCTCCCCTCAGAAGCTCGTTCGCGTGTCTTTAAGGTTGAGAAGCTGCTTAAAGTGCTCGAATTGCTGCCTTGGCAGGTGCTTTGTAAGCCCATCTGCTAGCATGTCGCTTGTTTTGATATAGCGCACTTCGAAAGATCCCTTCGCGTGCTCCTGGCGCAGCCACATGTTCTGAATATCGACGTGGCGCAGGCAGGTGGTTATCCGGGCGTTCTCCTCTACTACTAACCTGATCGTCTGCTGGTTGTCACAGTAGATCTGCCACGGTGTGCCTAGCTCCAGGGTAAGCTCTTTGAAGAAGCGTTTCAGAGCTAGCGATTCCTTTGCAATGTGCGCTAGAGCAAGCAGCTCAGCCTCCGTCGTAGACGTAGTTACTGTCGGCTGGAGAGCTGCTTTCCATAGGATCGGTCCTCCAAAGAGCGAGATAATGTATCCATGGGATGATCGTCTGGTCTCTGCGTGATCGGCAAAAGACGCGTCTCCACACATGATGAGTTGCGCGCCTTCCAGTGCTCCATACTGTATGCCTGTATGCCTTGTGCGGTACAGGTACACGATCGCCCGGTTCACTGCCTGGAAGTGCTGCTTTCCTGGGTTTGTCAGGTAGTGGGAGAGCTGGGATGCCGCGAACGCCACGTCCGGGCGCACCATGATCGCGGTGTATAGTGTTGATCCCACGCGCTCTTGGTATTCCTTGATTTCCTGCTTCGTTGCTGATCCCTGGTTGCTCGTGAGCTCTTCCGATGGTAGGGGAGTCCCTGGGAAGAGCGCGCTCTCTGCAAGGTTGAACTTCTTCGCTACTTTCTCAATATACGCGTCGTGTACTAGCTGGATCGTCCTAGCCTTTCTGTTCCTGATCATTTTGATCCCTAGAAACCATTCGCACGGCCCTCGATCTTCTAGCTCGTACATTTCCTTGATCGCACTGATCAATCGGTGAGCTTCCAACTCATCGTCGCGGTGATAGATGTGGAGTATGTCGTCTACATAGAAGAGAAGCAAGATACGGCGATCGCGGTCAAAGAATAGGCACGGCTCCTCTTTGGATGAGATGAGGTTGAGCTTCTGAAGAGACTGCGAGAGCTCCTGGTACCACAAGATCGGCGAGTCGCGCAGTCCGTATAGGGCTCGGAGAAGCTTGACGCACATGCCAGGCTTCGTGAAGCCTTCTGGGAGCTCGCATGTCACTTCTGGCTTGCCTTCGCGGTGCGCGTTCAGGAACGCGCCTATGACATCGTATTGCCTGATCTCTAGGTCAAATTGAGCTGCTATCGCTATTGCCGTTCGGAAGGATCTGGCTGCGAGAGTGGCAGCATAGGTTGACTGGAGCGAGTCCTTGCTCTGGAGATCACCGCGTACGCAAATGCGAGCTTTGCATTTAGCAAAATACCCATCCTGGTCAAATTTGTACGTGAATACCCACTTCAGTGGGAGCGGCTTAGACGTTGCTTCAGATCGCATGATCTCTTTCCAAGTGCCTTTCTCAAGCAGGGTAGCTATCTCTTTCTGTGCTGCGATCTTGAAAAGATCTCCGTATGGGTGTTTGTGTAGATCTCTCCATTTCGAGGGTTCCTTTGGGAGCTCATGAGCTCTTGGTCGAGGCTGCCTGAAGAAGGCAGCTGCGGAAAACACTGCGTGGAGCGTTTTGAGCGCTCTGTCGTTGTGAGCAATAAATGCTCCAAGGAAGTTTATTTGGAGGTGCTCTGGATCAACTGGAGCTAGGCGTATGCTGCTCCTCTCCGAGAGCGTCGTATATATACCTCCGCTTCCTGCACCCCCAGGCTCACCCGGGTCATCAGGATCTTGCCTCCGTATTCTTCGGCTTATGCGTGTGGCTGGTCCCCAGCTCTTTTTGTTGTACGCACGTTTGGGGGGTGCCTCACCTGCTTCGACTGGAGCCACAGAAGACGATGTCCCAGCGCGAGAGGCAGGGGTCGATTTTTCGACCGGCGAGTCGGCTGTTTGACTCAACGAGCCCGGTGGATCCGCTTCTCCGGTTAAGTGCACTTGCCGGGGATCACCAGTATGCTCGTGCCTACCCTGTATAGGGCGTGTCGTAGAGCTATCCGCGAGCTCTGGCTCGGGAGTCGGCTCTGGGGTAATGAGTGCCATACGTTCATCAGGAACCGCGCGAATCCTCGGCGACTTGCTTGTCGTGCTCGTCACCCGCGCAGTTGCTTCCACCTCCGAGTGCTGATCCTCTGGCTGGCCGACCCGAGTTCCAACAAGCTCTTCGGTTTCCGCACCCCCGAGCTCGCGCTCTTGGGGCCTCTGATTCGGTATATTACTCTGCTGCTCATCTGACCTTTGAGGTAGAAGCTCGAAGGCTTCTCCTGCATCACGGATCTCACCCTGCTCGTTGAGAATTTCGACGATCTTAGAGGCTTCTTCCCGGGGGATCGGCTTGTCACCCCCGTCCTCGTGGAAGCGTGTCTCATCGAAAGCTACGTTTCTCGTGGTGATCACCTGGTCGAGCGACGGGACCCATATTCTGTAGATATTCGAGGCTCTGTAGCCCACAAGATATCCTATGTGGCCCCGTGGAGTCACTTTGAAGCTTCGCTTCTGACGCCCGGCTGCTCGCTCCCTGTTGAGTGGGTAGGCGCGACAGCCGTATGCGTAGATCCCGCTCCAATCGGGTCTTAGATCAGCCGTAGCACTCCTCACCTGCTCTGGCTCGTAGTATCTGAAGTAGTTGGTGAACCACGCGTCCAAGACTTCATTTGGTGAGCGTAGGTTGTGTGCGTGCGACGGGCTCATATTGTACAGCCATGTCGCTGCGTCTACTACTTCCGGCCAGAGCTTCTCGGGGAGTCCTGCGCTGCTCCTCATCTTGATAGACTTCGTGATTATCTCTTGTCCAGCTCTTTCTGCGGCTCCATTTGGCTCATGAGTGTATGGTGGAGAGCTCTCAATATCAATGCCGGATTCCTCTGCCCAGAGCTCATACCTTGACTTCCCATGCCAAGGGAGCGTGGCAGCGTCGTTGTCTTGCTGTATTTTGCTGATCCGGAGCTTGTATTGATTGGACACCATGCTCTTGAAGTTCTCCATTACTCTCTGGATTTCCGAGAGCGTTTTCGCCTGGAGAGAGTACGAAAAGATTTTGCCGCTGTATTCGTCCTTGACGATCATCATCCATAGAGCTCCGCTGCGCCCTAATGGCATATCGAACATGTCCCATGCGATTCTCCAGAATGGGCGGGGAGCTCGCTCTTTTGGTCTTCTCGATATGACCTGCTTGGCGTGTGTTGTTGCGCAGTGCTCACAGCGTACTCGCTCTGTACCCGTTATTCGTACGTTCCTCGCGCTTTTGACCAGAGCCCGCAGAGCTTTGGGGCCTAGGTGTCCTGCGCGCGCATGCCAGAGCTCTTCTGAGTCTGA